ACACACACACAATAGAGACCCAGTGCACAAAATTTGTACACAGGTAGGGTCCCTAGGCCTGGCCAGTGATCAGGACCAATGTATGGGCTACCAGCAGGGTGATCAGGGGCCCCTTGCTGGCACCGCCTTGCCTGGCCTGCGGCCTGCGGGCTGGGGACAGCTACTGCGTTGAGCATCTGCCCCCTGGTGGTCAGTGCGTACCATAGTGACCAGTTGTTCTGCCATTTGGTCAATTTGCATATTAGGCTTTTATTATATATATATATTTTTTTTATTGACTTCAGAGAGGAAGGGAGAAGGAGATAGAAACATGAATGATAAAATAGAATCATGGATTGGCTGCCTCCTGCACGCCCCTCACTGGGGATCAAGCCCACAACCCTGGCATGTGCCCTGACCAAGAATCAAACTGTGACCTCCTGGTTCATGGGTCGGTCGATGTCAAACACTGAGGCACATTGGCTGGACAAGATGGGTAGTCTTGGCAAGCAGTTAAATAGCCCGAGCATTGTGGTTATGCGCCTTGGAGAGTCAAGAGTGTGTTTCTGGGCAGAGTTCCTCAGATGCGTTCATATTGATGCCCCACATGGAAGCCCTGGCTGCATCCTCTGGGCACAACAGCTCTGGGCATTACCAGGTCCTGGCGCTGCCATCCAACTGGCCTGAGGGCCTGGTGGGCAAGTTCGTCTTTTCTGACTATGACACAGGGTGACACCCCATTCCCTGCTCACCTCACATTTCTGTTGTGACAGTTATGCAGAACATTCATGCATATGAAAGCATGGGGGAAGTATGTTGGGACTCTTTTTTTTAAATGTGTTTAGCCGAACTGGTGTGGTTCAGTGGTTGAGCATCAACCTATGAACTAGCTCATGGTTTGATTCCCAGTCAGGGCACATGCCTGGGTTATGGGCTCGATCCCTAGTTGTAGAGCATGCAGGAGGCAGCCACTCCATGATTCTCTCTCACCAGTGATGTTTCTATCTCTCTCTCCCTCTCCTTCCTCTCTAAAATCAATAAAATATCTTGTGTAATAAAAGGGTAATATGCAGTTTGACCAAACGACAGAAGGACCAGTTGCTATGACATGCACTGACCACCAGGGGCAGACGCTCAATACAGGAGCTGCCCCCGGTGGTCAGTGCACTCCCACAGGGGAGCACCGCTCAGCCAGAAGCCTGACTCATGGCTGGCGAGCGCAGTGGAGGGAGCCTCTCCCACCTCCTCAGCAGGGCTAAGGATGTCTGACTGCCAGCTTAGGCCTGTTCCCCCCCAGTGGGCCGAAGCTGCCAGTCAGATATACCCCAAAGCTCCCGGACTGTGAAAGGGTGCAGGCCGGGCTTAGCTCCCCCCCGCCCAACCAGTGTACAAATGTCCCACACCAGGCCTCTAGTATGTGTGTGTGTGTGTGTGTGTGTGTGTGTGTGTGTGTGTGTGTGTATAGTTAAAATGTGTTTCTTTTAATCCTGACCCGAGGATATGTTTTATTGATTTTAGAGAGAAAAGAAGAGAGAGAGTAAGAGAGAAACATCAATGTGAGAGAGAAACATCTAATTGCCTCTTATTTGCACCCTAACCAGGGATTGAACCCGTGACCTTTCAGTGTACAGGATGATGTGTCAACCAACTGAGCCACCTGGTCAGGGCATGTCGGGACTCTTTTTTTTTAAAAAAAAAACAACATATTTTATTGATTTTCTTACAGAGAGGAAGGGAGAGGGATAGAGAGTTAGAAACATTGATGAGAGAGAAACATTGATCAGCTGCCTCCTGCACACCCCCCACTGGGGATGTGCCCACAAGCAAGGTACATGCCCTTGACTGGAATTGAACCTGGGACCCTTCAGTCAGCAGGCTGACGCTCTATCCACTGAGCCAAACCCGTTAGGGTGCATGTTGGGACTCTGAACAGAAATGATTGTGATGTTGTCCCTTGTCACCTGTGTGGAGCATCCAGGAATTGCCAAGGTCCTCTGTTTCCTTCCCTTTATTACGGGTGAAAATCATGTCTCAGTGTGTTTTCCTGTGAATTTGCAGTTTGTCACTCACCAACATTTTATGTGATTTTTAAAATATTTTTATTTTTTTTTTAGAAAATAGATATCACCAATAAAGCTGTTACAGAAATTCTTTTGAAAACCACAGAATACATTCAGCCCAATCCAGGTAATGTGGGACAATATCTGGAACTGTCCTGATGCCCATTCACGGTGACCCATGCTGACCACCCATGTCGGCTGGGCCCTTCCTTGAAGTGATCTAGCAACAACGCCCTTGGGGTCCCAATCATGAAATGTGGTTTCGGGTTTGTTTTTAAAATATATTTTTATTTATTTCAGAGAGGAAGGGAGAGGGAGAGAGAGAGAGAGACATCTATGTTAGAGAGACACATCAATCGGTTGGCTCCTGCAGGTGCCCCAACCAGGGCCAAGGGACCTGCAACCAAAGTACCTATCCTTGACCAGAATCGAACCCGGGACCCTCTAGTCTGCAGGCCAACACTGTATCCACTGAGCCAGACCGGTTAGGACTTATTTACTTTTTAAAATATATTTTTATTGATTTCAGAAAGGAAGGGAGAAAGAGAGACAGAAAGAGCAAGAGAGAGAGAGGTCCTGATATAGGCTGGTTGCAATGTGTTCACAATTTCCGTTTCCCACGTGACTCTGCAACCAATCACTATGCACCCACCTGAGTGAAGCATGTGCCAATCATGGGAAAAACTAAATAGGTCACTGAGGCCCTTTGGCACCTCGGGTCTCTGACATGTCGCCGAGGGTGCACTCAATCTTGCCGGTTGCATTTGTTGCATGCTCTCTGCCCCTCCACCCTGTCCCTTGAAGGAATTACAAATGACCCTGTCTTAAAGCATACAGAATGAAGCTGGGGCTGCTGAGCCCGATGTTGAAGATCCACAATTGGGGGAAGGCCCCGGGGTGCCTGCAGCCAGAGGGCCTGCTGGGCAACTGCATGCTCAAGTACGGCCAGGAGCTGGGCGAGGACTCCACCTTTGGTGAGTGTGGAAGTCCTGGAGGGCGGTCGGCCCATGTCACCTGTAGGTTATACACAAAGCCTTTATTTTCTCTTCACTTCTTTTCTTTTTGGATTGATTTCAGAGAGGAAAGGAGAGGGAGAGAGAGAGAAACATCAATGATGAGAGAGAATCATGGATCGGCTGCCTCTTGCATGCCCCCTACTGGAGATCCCAGGCATGTGCCCTTACCAGGCATCGAACCGTGACCTCCTGGTTCCTAGGTTGATGGTCAACCACTGAGCAATGCAGGCTGGCTGGGAGATGGTTTTTTGTTTGTTTGTTTATTTTTGTTAATTCTTACCTGAGGATATTTTTCCTATTGATTTTTAGGGAGAGTGGAAGAGAGAGGGAGAGACAGAGACACATCAATGTGAGAGAAACACATTGCTTGGTTGACTCCTTCATGAGCCCTGACCAGGGCCAGGGCCCACCTGAGAAGCCTGCAACCTTGGTATGTGCCCTTGACCAAAATTGAACCTGGGACTCTGGTCCGAAGTTCGATGCTCTACCCACTGAGCTACACGGGAGATGTTTTTAAGAGAACCTGCAACCTCCTTGTACACAGCTTTGAGGTCACCCTCTTGCAAATTAATGCAGATTAGGTGCTTCCCAGGTACTGGGGGTCATTCAGGAAGAGCTGCCCTTCGCTGTCCACACTGGGCATGGCTGCCCACCCTGCTGGGAGCTACCTGTGTGACACTGCCAGGCTTCCTCCACACCAGGGAGGATCAGGTCGCCTTGCCCTTGGAAGGATCCAGGGTGAGGCCCCAGGAGGACCTGGCAGCAAAAGCTGAGATGAGATGTTCATTCATTCCTATTGTCATCTTCATTGTTGGTGCTTAGCCCAGAGGAGGACTCAATCCTTTTATTGTTTACAAAGAGGGACTTTGTTCTGCAGCTTCTAAAAACCCTTAGGGCAGTGGTTCTCAACCTTCCTAATCCCGCGACCCTTTAATACAGTTCCTCATGTTGTGGTGACCCCCAATTTCATTCTTACAAATTGAACATATTAAAGCATAGTGATTAATCACAAAAACAATATGTAATTATATATGTGTTTTCTGATGGTCTTAGGCAACCCCTGTGAAAGGGTCGTTCAACACCCAAAGGGGTCGAGACCCACAGGTTGAGAACCACTGGCCTGTGGTTTGGTTTTTTTTTTTACAAAAATTGATCTTTATCTCCATCTAGTGGCCAGAATGGAAAGTGCCTCGGCCTGTCAGCCGCCAGGTAAGTTTGATGAAGAAAAGGAGGAAGTAGAGAAGAAATGTAGAAAGTTTTTATTTTTAGCCCGGCTGGCTGGCTCAGTTGAGTTTCTTCTTTTTTTTCCTTTTTTTTTCCAGAAAAGCTCTTTTAAATATAATAATGTTACATGCAATAAACATTAATATCTCAAGAAAAGCGATCTTAAATATAATAATGTTACCTTTAATAAACATTAATATCTTGAAAAAAATGATTTTAAACATAATGTTACATGCAATAAACACCAATTATTCAAGAAAAATGATCTTAAATATAATAATATTACATGCAATAAACAATATTTCAAGAAAAAAAGAATTTTAATTATTATAATTATTATACTGAGAGGTTAAGATTTGACCTATGAACCAGGAGGTCACGGTTCGATTACCGGTCAGGGAACATGCCGGGGTTGTGTGGAGGCTGTGCACGGGGCAGCCAATCCATGATTCTCATCATTGATGTTTCTCTCTGCCTCTCCTTTACTCTCTGAAATCCATAAAAATATGTTTTAAAAAAAGTTTTTGTTTTTATTCTTTTCCAAGTGAAGACCTTGTTAAATAAACCATCACCCACATACCTTGGGCAAGAAGTGAATAGTGCCGCCAACCTCCAGGTGCTCTGTGAAGGAACGCTTTTTATTTGTTTTTCTGTGCCAGGCAGCGCGCTGACTGATATGGGAGAAGCTATGAAGCTGATGGCGGAGGTGAAAGAATCCTTTGATATTAACGTCAAGGAAACCTTTATTGATCCACTCCAGTTAGTACAAGACGAAGATTTAAAACAGATTTCAGTAAGTTTTCTTGGCTGTAAACCCCCGCGTTGCTACTTAAAATGATGTTTGTAGTTAAAACCATGGAGACGTGTCTCTGTAGGGACCCAGCGAAAGCATCATCTTAGTGTGGGCGGTGAAACAGATAATCACTCAGTGATGTTCACCTGGCCCCCTGGGCAGGAGCCCCAGGAGCCATGAGCCCTTTATCCTGTAACTGTGTGCGTGTGTGTGTGTGTGTGTGTGTGTGTTTAATGGTAAATGTGTTTATTTATTTTAATCCTCATGCAAGGATATTTGTTCCATTGATTTTTTATTTTTTAAAATATTTTATTGATTTCAGAGAGAAAGGGAGAGGGAGAGAGAGAAAGATCAGTGATGAGAGAGAATCATTAGTCAGCTGCCTCCTGCATGCCTCCCACTGGGGAGTGAGCTTGCCATCCAGGCATGTGTCCTTGGCTGGATTTGAACCTGGGACCCTTCAGTCCATAGGCCAATGCTCTAGCCACTGAGCCAAACCAGCTAAGGCTGTTCCATTGGTTTTCAGAGAAATTAGAAGAGAGAAGGAGAGAAACATCGATGTGAGAAAAAACACATCAACTGGTTGTCTCCTGCTCTTACCCTGACCAGCACCCCTGCTGGGTAGGAGCCTACAACCAAGGTATGTAACCTTTACCAGAATGGAACTCAGGACCCTTACATCCAAAAGCCAACGCTCTATCCACTGAGCAAAACTGGCTAGGGCAGTGGTCGGCAAACTCATTAGTCAACAGAGCCAAATATCAATAGTACTTCTTCAAAATAGACTCACCCAGGCCGAAAACCAACTTCTGCACATGTGCCACGAAGTTTCAATCGCACTGTATGTGCGCGCCTGCACGTGGTATTTTGAAAGAGCCACACTCAAGGGGCCAAAGAGACGCATGTGGCTCGTGAGCCGCAGTTTGCCGACCACGGGGCTAGGGCTATCCTGTGGCTTATTGAAGCCAGCAAGAAGCCAGGCTAAAGGTACGTATTTCCACAGCCATTGTTCACAGCAAATGATTCTAAAACTGGAGTGGGTTTTCAATGATGAAAATCAAAACATACTCATTACATCTTTTAAAAATACATATATTTTTATTGATTTAAGAGAGAGAGAGAAACATCAATGATGAGAGAGAGAAAATCATTGATCCACTGCCTCCTGCACCCCCCTACTAGGATTGAGCCCACAACCCAGGCATGTGCCCTGACCCGGAATCAAACTGAGCCACACCGGCTGGGCCTCCTTGCCTCTTTTAATACATGGCACAAATGGTCACGAATTTCCAGGACTTCATTTTATATTTGGAAAGCTTTCTAAAATGGCCACATGGAGCTCACACACACAAGAGGGTGTGTGTGTTTCATTCATTGTGGTGTTTGCTCAATTCATTCTGAAATTGTTGGGGAACCTTATGAAAGACGTATAAGTACTCCAGAACAAGCATGTCAAACTCAAAGCTAACACAGGCCAAATAAAAAAGATTTAAGTGTATGTGGGACGCAAAAAAACAAAAACAAAACAAACTTCAATTTTCATAGAAATGTAGGTTTATTTCAATAGAGACATGATGAATACAAAGGGCTGAAATAAATGAGTCATCACTCACATAAAATAATAAAACATTTTAATAAAAATTAATATTTTTTCTTGAACACTGACTTACCAGACACTGAATAACTGCACAAATGAATAAGCATAATGCAAATAAATCCATTTTTCTTGTTCTCCAAAAGCGAGATATTTTCTGTTATGCACACCAAACAAGTCAGTCCAAGACTAAGGATGTGGCCATTGGCTGCTAAAATATTCGCTGCTAGTATTAGTGGAGGGAAATGGTGCACCTGCGCGTAAGCTACATAAGGGAAATGAATGCAACATGATGATAGTCATCAGTCATTAGTGAACGTTGTAGTTCATTATTAAAAATGATCTATAGAAAAAAGACAGAGAAGATGGCGACCGGCAGGAAGGTAGGGAGGGAAAGAGTGTGAGGTAGCTATAGAGGAGTGTGTCGACGTGTGTGGTGGGTGTGTATGAGCTAAGGACAGTTAGATTCTGCAGGTCTTCCAAGGGGCTGCCAAACCAGG